TCCACACTACCTCATCCTCACACTGCTGCGGTTTTCCTTCGACCCACGGACTATGAAGAGGAAGAAGATCTTGGATAATGTCTCCATCCCTGTGGTGCTCAAGCTACCCATCCTTGTTGCTTCAGAGGAAACTGAGGAGATTTGCCGGCATAGGAAGGATGGTGCTGTCCCAGGGAGTGGCTTCATGACTGTTGTGTATGACCTCTGCAGCGTGGTGGTGCATTCAGGCATCTCCTCCGAGAGTGGCCACTACTACTGCTACTCCAGGGAGTGCACTGACACCGTCCCCCACGGGCAGCCCCGGGATGGGGTGCCTAAGACAGCCTCTGACAAACAGCTGGACTTTGAAATCCAGTGGTACCTCTTCAATGACACCAGAGTTTCCTTCTCCTCCTTCGAGTCGGTCAGCAACGTCACCTCATTCTTCCCCAAGGACACTGCCTATGTCCTCTTCTATCGGCAGCGGCCGGACCAGCAGAGCTGCCTGCTGCACGAGGCTCTGGCTGAGGCCGGCCGCCTGCATGGAGAACCGTCCCTCCACAAGGACTTGATGGAAGCCATTTCCAAAGATAACATCCTCTTCTTGCAGGTAACTCCTGCTGCTGTGCACAGTGGGGTGTGGTCCTGTGGCTGTCTGACTCATGAGCCACATTCCCACAAATCCAGGCAGCAGTGGGATCCTGTCCTGTGTTTAAAATCCTGCAGATGCCCACACACTCCCTGAAGCCGAATCCCTTTTTGTTTTTAGTACCCAGATATAAGCAGGTTATAGGCTTCTGATGAAACTGATATAAGCAGGTTATAGGCTTCTGATGAAACTGATATAAGCAGGTTATAGGCTTCTGATGAAACTGGGCGCTGAGATTGGTACAAGACGCAGTGTGGCCGTGCTTGGGGTTGACTTGCTCCTGGAAGTTTAGCACGATATTTTCTTTGAAGTGCCTGGGAAAGAGAGGATGATGGAATAGGTTGGTTTAGAAGGGACTTTTAAAGGCTATCTAGTCCACCTCCTCTGCAGGATGAGCAGGGACATCTTCAACTCAGAGGCTTAGAGCCCCATGTGGCCTGACCTTGAATGTTCCTGGGGTGGAGCATCTACTGCTTCTCTGGGAAATCTGTGCCAGTGCCTCACCACCTTCATTGTAAAATACTTGTTCCTTGCATTCTACCCTTTCCTTTCCTTCCCACCTTCACTCCTGGTAACTAGCTGTTCCTTCCTACCACCCCTGACGTTCATCTGAGTCATTGCAAACAAAGTCTTTTTTTTTAACTTTTTCTCTTTTTATGATAGAATCATAGAATAATTTGGGTTGGAAGGGACTTACAGACCAGCCAGTTCCAGCCCCTCTGCCATGGGCAAGGACCATTTATGCTGGACCTGGTTGCTCGAAGTCCCATCCAACATGGCCTTGGACACTTCCAGGGATGAGGCATGCACAGCTTGCCTGGGCAGATGGGTGAGCTGGGAATACAAACTATAACAGATTTAATTCAGCGGATGGAGCTCAATGTTTTCCAAAGAACAGTGTCACATATGAGACACTGCATGTGGGGCAATTTGGGGGGTCCCTCCCCTCTCATGGGTGACATGGGAGGACTAGGTTTGATCACTGAAGAGCTGCAATTTTCTGTTGCATCCCTCCTGCTGAGCTCGAGAGCACATGGACTTCACACCCCACTTTAATTTGAAGGAAGCTCCCGGGGGGAACCTTACAGGCTCTTGGCTGCTCAGGGATAGTGGGAGCATCTCTCCACTTGAGTCTTTTATCTGCTGATATCCTTGTGCTCTCTTTGCCCCTTTCTTCTTCCAGGAACAAGAAAAAGAAGCGAGGAACAGAGCTGCCTATATTTCTGCTTTGCCGAAATCCCCGCTGTGGTGGAGAGACTTGGACAGGGACAAGGATGATGACAGCTCGTCCGGGGGCTGCAGCCCAGCAGCGGGTGGGGGTGGATCCGGCTCCTTCCACGGACTCGTCTTTTAGCCCACAGCTTGAACCAGATGGGCAGTGTCCACAGGGCCAACCCAAAGCCAGAAGCTCCTCTTCCTCACCCCAGTGACAGTGGGCATCTTGGAGGAGGATTTGAGAAACATTTCAATGGAAAAGCTCTCAGGGCTGATTTGGAGGCGTCTGGAGGGTCTTGCTGCTTCCTATGCACTTGGTCTTCATGCCTTAATGTACATAAGCTAGCGCAGAGATGAGCAGCTGCCAACAGCTCAGAGAAGTGCCCTTTTGCTTCATCATAGCCATGTCTTGCCTGCTGTGAGCCATGCCACCAGCCTGGGGAAGTGACAAGGACTCCTGTCCTCCTCATGGGGAGGAAGACAGACCCAGTAGGGCCCCAGGGATGGAGATGTCCCATGCACATCCTGTCTGCAGCCCTTTCCATTGAAAGGCACTGAGTTGGTTCTGGGGTGACCTCTGCTCAGTTGTTGTATTTCTTTTAATGTGGTTTGGGAACCAACCGTGAAAAACCCTGAAGGTAGAAAAGGTCTGGAAAATGCCAAAATGTAGCAGTGCTGGTCTGTGAGGCAGTGACCTTGTAAGACAAGCAGTGTCAGGTTAACCAGAGGGAGTTTCTGCTTTTTTATTGTTTTGTTTATTGCAAGACACCCAAAAGAGACTGGGGGGCACAAACCCCTCCAGCCTAGAGTGAGTGACCTGATCCAGTTGAGGTTTCTGGGCTCCAGTGAAGACCCATTGTGTTACCTCTGGATGCTTTTAGTGTGCACAGCAGGCCAAGACACACAGAGGTTTTTCTAGATGTTTCTTTAGGACTCCATTAGTCTCTTTCTGCTGCTGTCTTTTGTTGGCTTTCTAGGCTGGATCTGCCCTTTAAAATGTGGGTTTTCCCTTGGAATACCCTGAACTCAGTAGCAGATGACAGAGGCCCCCCTAAACTCATGATTTTTTTTTTCATGCTTGTTTGCAAGGTGACTAGCCCAACCAGATATGTTATATCAATCCAATATCAGTATATGCTATGTAATATATACAATGTATTATATAAATCAATAATGAGATGGGGCTGATTTTGATGGCAGATGGCCTACTCAAGCCCCAGGCAGCACATCTACAGGGACAACAGCTCCCTCCCTTGTCCCTCCCCAGCTGTTTTCCCCTGCCTGCTCTTCCCTCACACCTGTAATAGAGATTTCTCTGACTCAAGTGGCAGAGACTTGTGCCTTAGGTCCTAAGTGCAAGGCCTAATCCTGATGATTGTGTTTTTGTGGAGGAAAAGGCAAAGCACAGACATTGCTATGGATAATATGAGCAGAAAGTCTGCTAGAGAGGACACTTGGGGTCAAATATCTTGTGTATACTATCATATTCTTTTATTGTCTTTCCTATATATGAATAAACGAAATTAATTCAACATACAGACTTAGAGTTGTATTGCAGTACTCAGAGATACTGGGCTGATGGATCAAAAAAAGAGATGGGGAAGCTGAGGTGTCCATCCTCAAGGACATGGGACAGTCCTGCAGAGTGGTGGCTTGGAAGAGGGGATCGAACAGAAGTGGAATGGCAGAGCTGTGTGCCCTCCAGAAGATCACAATACTAATAGTGGAGCCTTGTAGATGAGCAGTGGAGTGTGTTTGTTTTTTTTAAGTCAGGTGCTGAGAGGAAATAAATGAAGTCCCAAAGCTGAAGTGTCACAGAATGTACAATGTTTCCTGGTTTTATTACTAGACTTCCATTTATTTCCTGTTCAAAGAGGTTGCTAAAAGTTTTCCTGTTGCTGTCATGCTAGTTCCTTTCTTTACTCTGGAGTATCACCTGAAGGCATTTTTTGTACTGTTTGCCTTAAGGTGCTTTTGTAGGAGACTGGCTTTAACATGATGGGATCATAATCTAAATAACGAAGGCAGATCGTTAAACCAACATGGAAAACACTGGAAAGGCCATATCATAGCTCAGCTCTTTCCTAAGTATGTCTTGTTTTTTCCCCCAAGATTTTCTGGGATGAGCAGAGGCAAACAGCATGCATGAATGGCAGCCTGGAGAGTGTTGTCAGGGCTGTAATGAAGTTGACCGGTTTAGCCCCTCTTGATTTCCTCTAATTATTAGCACTGGACTTCCCTTTTGGACTCAGCCAATACTACTGTGTCTGATGAAGATATTAAATAGTATTGGTTCCAGTACAGATCTTTGAGAAACACTAATCATTGCTGGTTTGGACACTGAATCATTGACTGTAGCTCTTCCAATGTGGCCATCCAGCCAATTATTTATTCATCCAATGGTCCATCCATCCATCAAACTCTTCAATTAACAGCTGAGAATGTTATAAGGGACCATATTAAAAGCCTTAGAGAAGTCTAGTATAGTACTGGTATGGTGTATTACTATCTGTGCTACACCAATTTTAGTATATGCTCTATTGGTACTAATGTTAGTAATACCAGTCATTTTTGCATATGGCATATTGATAAAGTATATGCTATGGTATATGAGATAGTTTGGCTTGTTTCATCTGTCACACGTGCCTCTGGTCAAGGAGAGCCCACAGGGGAGTTCTCAGCTCTTGGTTTGGGATTCCACGTGTACTGCAGATGTGAGATGCTGCTACTCTTGTCTAAGAGAGGTGTTACAGGAACTGTACTTAGGGAGGTGTCTTTTTCCAGCTGTTTTTTTTTTAAAAGGAAGTCTTAAAGGGAGGGTTGAACTTTTATCTCTGGAGAAGAAAATTTATCCTTTTGCTGAAAGGTTCTCTGAGTGATTTGGTGTCCTGAGCTGAGAACTCCCCTGTGGGCTACCCTAGCTACAGCCCTAAAGGCCCTCATTTCCCATACAGGACTTGGCAACGTGCCGAGAAGATGCTCTGAAAGTTTTAAAGCTGCTACATAATCAAACTTGATCTGCTTATTAGTTTCTCCTTTCTTTCCCTGCTCTGAATCCATGCTGGGAATCACCAGGGAGAGATGTCTTTTTAGTATCATTCTTTTATTTTCCTGTTTCTTTTCTGTTGCATATACAGTACTTAAAAATGAGATCACCTTCACGTCAGGCATGTACCATGTTTATTAACAGCAAAAAAAGTATTATCTAGGCTTCACTCAAGACCGATTTACAGGATAAATAATTGTTTCAAATTACTTTTAAAAAAACCAACCAAACAACAACCCCCCCAAAGAATAAATTAATAACTTAAGTGATTAGCTGTCCACAGTGATTTGAAAACTTAATAACCATTCAAACAGTGACACCACAAGAAGACACATACTGTACAGTTTGCCACAGATTACTCTTGTCCTTCCTTCTACAAATGGAAATCAAAAAATTAAAAATACTCCTCTTTAAGAACAGTCATAGGCTTTGAAACACACAAAACATCCCTGCGAATCGGCTGCTGATGCAACAGCTTCACAGCCAGGGCTCCAACCCCTCCTCGCAGCAGGTTAAGAAACAAATGGAGAAAACTACCCTAATTTGACCGATCTGTTCCCACACAACAATGCCCAAAGTCAGTGGGGACACGTTGACTTTGCCAAGGGCTGGGTTGAGTGGGATATAACTACTCTAAAGGTTTGGTCCTAACCCTACAGGATTCATTGACAGGCTCCCTGTGGAGCTCAGGGTCTTTATCCTTTTCCCTCTCTGCAACGTGGTTCAACCACCACGTCCATACTGCTCTCCAAAAACCCATGGTATTGTCAGGGTAAATGTGGCGGCGGAATGCTGAGAACTGTGCAAATGACATTTCCCCCATCCCCCCCCACTCAGAAGAAAATCCTGCCAAGTTTTTTTTTCACCTTGGTAGTTAAGGATGGGTTTTTAATGAGTTTTGCAGAGCAGGACGTGTCGGTGCCATGTATGATGCTGGGCATGACAACAGGGTAACACCACATGCTTCCAAGCCATTGCCTGCAGACTCAAAACAGCTCTTTGCATTATTAGATGTCAATTAATTACGCCTCATGACATATCTGTGAGGTGGGGAAATAAGTACTAAAAACCTTCATTTTACAAGCCGGAGAAAAAGCAGGATACAGAGTTCACATGAACCCTCTCATCCCATGTGAAAATACAGTGTGGTGTCACCCAGAGAATGACCATAAAAATGATGGTTTCTCATCTCCTGGTCTGGGGGCAAACCTCTCCCATATGGTCAACCCACTGACCTACAAATGAACCTGTTATGTGTTAGCAATGGGCTACATCAAAAATTATGAGCCTGCTGATTTGGAGCAAGTCTGTTGAGAAGCTTTTTTAGCTAAAGGGATGGAGCCATGTGGCCCAGCTTCTGTTTCAGATATTACTGGCTGGTGTTAAAACTTGGAACACCACGTGCCAGGACCAGCTGGCCGTGGGCTGGAAGGGGACAGCTGTATTGTGACACCTTGCTACATATCAACTTTTCTCAAGAGAAGACACTAAATCAGCAACCTGACCAACAGTACAACACTAGGAGTTGTGAACAAGGAGATAAAATTGTGACTACAATGATGAGACACCAAGGACAGGCTGACAGAGGGATGAACTGCTCCAGACCAAGGAGGAATCATGATCAAAAAGTGTGAGCCTCATTAACAGCTGCAAGATCATTGTGTACATGTGGGAAGGTTGGGCAGAGAAGAGAGGCACTCAGACTCATCAGAGGCCCTCCACTGGCTTATTGGTCCTTGTGTTTTGATGCTGGACTGGTGCCTCTTGATTTTCTTGATGGCTCTTTGATAGCCATGTGTGTTCTATGGCTGGTGCTGGTTAGACTTTGCTCTTCTGCCCTCCTGTAGAACTAGGGCTTCTCCATAATCACAGCTTGGCTGCATCCACCTCATCTAGACAGCATCCCTCCCATGGGACACACACTGTGGGTGTCAGCTTTTACATGGAATGGAACTTTTACATGACCAGGTGGGAAAACACAAACACAATGCAAGCACAACTTGAGGAAACCATCCTTTTACTTGCCTCCTAGGCCAGAAAGGTCAGACAGGACCTGGAAACTATTTTAACATCTTCCATAATGCCTGGACATGGCTGTACCCCTCTCCCCACCCAAGGAGCCATGATCATTGGATAGCCAAAACAAGCCAACTCTTCCTGGTATACCAGGGTGTGGAGGTGGCATGGGTTTGCTAAGAGGTCTGGATCTAGCCTAACAAATTTACAGGTTCAAGCTGTCTCCCAGCTGCTAGAACTGCCAGTCCATGTCCTGGATCACTTGTTCTGGGCCAGCCAGCCCTTTCCCAGGTGCAAGGGATGGCCCAGTGTGGATTAGGCCTTCTCACTGGGGAATATGGCCTTACATGTTTATCTGTGTGCCTTGTCACTTGGCTTCATGGCCAGAGAAGTGGCCCTGTCCCTGTTTTGGACATTATAGGGCTCTAAGCAACCCCTCGAGCCCCTTCCCTCACATGGAGGAGTCTCCACTCAACCCCAGCAGCACAGGGTCTCAGTGTGGAAGAAATGCTCCAAGCAGGGTCAGCTATGGGGTTGACCTAGACTGGTCTTGAAAAGCTCCAAGGATGAAGATGGCACCTCAAGGGACAACCCTGTGAAACCATGGCACTGCTGCCCCATGAGCAGCTCATGGGAGCCCCTCAGCAAGATGTCTCACAGCATTTCCTGGTCCCCACACATTTCTTGTAGGGTTCCTCCTGCCCAGCTCAGAGTTGGGGGAATGGACCAAGCATTCCTGAATGCCACGGACAACCCTTCTCCATGAGCACACACACATGCAAGCACATCCCTTTTCTACACTGAACCATAGAGCCATAGAACACTCAAGCCTGTTTAATTTCAATTAAAATGAATAATTTGCAATGTTCTCAGTTTCCTTAAATACCTATTACTAACAAAGGAGCCTGTCATACTTGTGAATCCAAATATAAAGTGGATGTGATAAACTCAATGCCTTCAGGACAAAGTTCTTGGCAGTCCGTGTAATTAAAGCAGCTGCTTTTCAATATGGTTTAAGACTAAATACTGCACAAACATTAATCATCAGGGACTGCTGTAATCAGCTTGGCAATCATCATGGGTGACTATTTCCACTGAAGCCATTGATTACTTAATGCTTTCAGGAGGGGTTGATTCAGTCATGTCTATATGGCACAGAGTCTGTGGGCTTCTGCTTAGTTTGGTGGTGCTGTTTGCTTGGTGCTTTGCAGGGGAAAAGGTAGAGGAATGTATCTGTTTCAGTGAAAACACTGACTTCACTGCAAAGCAGAGAGGGACCAGCAACCAGCAGTTAAGCAGCTGCTTTTGGGCTGTTTTGGTCCTTGGTCTGCCAAATGCAATGGACCAGTTACTAGGGATGAGAGCAAATTATCAAAACAGTGTCTGAGCCTGGGAAAAGAGCTATCCCATGCCAATGGTTGCCCCATGAATAAAGACACTTGTGAAATGAGTGCACCAGTTTCTCCAGTACCACAAAAGGCTTTTCTGTTTTAATTAACGCCTTGGATTAAATGTGGGGGTGGGCGCTGGATGCACCAAGTCCAAGTGCAGAAGCACAGGGCACCCACTCAGCAAACTGCATTCAAACCCACTGTGCTCTCTCTTGAACCACTAAAGCTAACAGCTTAGAAGAAATAGGAAAAAATCAGCTTCCCAGTGGAGTGACAATCTTTTTGGTGGGGATGGGGAGCTCTCTTCCAGATGGATGAATGCACACTTCAGTGAGCTCTGGACCAGGCCCAGTGTTTAGTCTCTCCTGAGATGCAGAGATGAAAGGGGAAATAGAAATATGAAGTACTGCATTCTAGTCTTCTTTTTGTCATCTCACCATGCAAGTGTGCAAGCCTCCAGCAGGAGGCAATGGCCTTTGCAGGCTGCAACACACTCCCTGACCTTCAGAAAGCATCTGACTGTGCTAAGTCTTCCCCTCTGGGGCTTTGGGGTTTTTTTTTTTCCTTCTAGTAATTATTATTTTTAGCATAAACATTAGGGTATTTGCTTCATTGTTTCTATAAAAGTCCAACACTTCAATGTCTCAACAGGGTTGTCAAGAGCTTTTCCATTAACATCCTTCCCTTTCATGGCATGCGAGAAGAAAATACAAAATGGTGTTGAAAGCTCAAGACTTATTTTACCAGCACACAGCAGCACATAGCCCTTCAGGGACTGGTATCCTATCCCCATGTGGGTCACGTCTGGCCCCTTCCAAGCTCAGACCAAGATTAAGCAAATGTGTTAATGTTTAAAGCATTAATAATCAATATAACTTGGTGGTGTTGGTGGAATACAGAGCCCACAGCACTGGGAGGGGTTCAGCTTGCAGAAAGAATAGCTCCAGCTCTTTAATAAATATTATTACTTAATCTTTCTAATGTCTCCTTCATTTGGCTCTTGGTTTGCGGTCAGCCTGTTTATTCGTGTCAGCGCTTGCTGTCTGGCAATCAGGCTGCTCCATGGCAATCATTAGTTCTTCCTGTTTTCATGAGATCATGAATTATTATCTCTGCATTAAACTGTCTCATCCTTCTCTTCTCTCTGTGCTCAGCAGCTGCCTGGCGAGTGATCTCAAAGCCTGTATGTGTTAAGGATGCTGGCAAGGGACGACAGCAGATTCTCCCCATAATTAGAGCCTAGGGTCATTAATGTCAGCAAGCCCCAGTTTAGTGGTGAAGAAACACTGCTGAAGATGAGGGGAAAACAGTTCCGCCTTTTGCACTCTCCACAAACCAACCACAATGCTATGTTAAAGCTCATACTGAAACGCCCTGCCCTGACTCTCCTGACCAGCCTCTTCCCAAGCCTATGACTTTACCATCAACCAACATTTCAATTGCTCTTCTTTCTTAAAAAAAACATTCCACCACATCTCCTCACCCAGAACCAACCTCTGCAATACAGCACCTGCCTTCTCCCAGTCCTCATAGCAGCCTTCCACTCCCTTCTGGTTACTCATCCTTATGCCAGTCCACATACACAGGGTCTGCAGAGTCTCCCTGCCCCCTCATACTCAATCACAGAGCTTCTCACAATGGCCACGATGCAGGACTCTCACTCAATGGGCTTCTTTTGGTGCCACAAAAGGCAAACTTTGGTTTTTAGGGTCAGATTCACAGGAACTGGTTTCAGATAGACAGTGGGTCAGTGCTTAAATTCTACCTTCCAAAGCCAATCCCTTCAGCCCCTTCCAAAACCAATCTCTACAGCCCATTCACTTCCAGAGTTAATGGAGAATATAAACAGAAGAAACCCCAACAAACTCATGAGAGCATGTGCTGGCATGTGTGTGTGTGTGTGTGTATGATGGGCCAAGTCCTGGGCTCCTAAGTCAGCTCAATGGGATGGTGTGGATAGTGTGTTAAGCTCCTGAAGGTGGTAACAACCCCAACCAAAACCTTGGCAACTGTCCAGCCAGGAGCAGAAAAACCCTCAGAGGTTTTGAACATATTATTTACAAGAGACAGGACAACAGAAGTGATTTCAAAAGCAATGGTCCTCGCTTAGTTTTGGGACTGGGAGGAGGCAGAGAAGAGGACAACCATGAGGAGTGGAGAATCAGAGCTGGGCAGTGATATCCTATGGGAGATACTTCAAACCTGCGTGGCATGGTTTAGGATACGATATGGAAGAAGATGGGGAGAGATGATGCAGTGTTAGCACATACAAGGTGGCTTTAATAGCTGTAAGGAAAAGATGTGTAGGGTGAAACCTGGTATTGCTAAGTCAAAGTTCCTGGATAGCGCATCCAGCAGCTAAAGCACAAACCTAGCCACCAAACATAGTTGGTCTTTATCACTGGCAAACAGTATCCGCCAAGTCTTCCCCTGAAATTAAGTTTTGTTTTAAGAGAAAAAAAACCAGTGACACCCCCTCCTCTCCACAGACAAGTCTTAGAAATCCAGCCCAAGTGGGTCTGGCAGCCCAGCGGGGTCGCAGCTGGGGAAAACCAACAGGGCATTGGCCTGTTTCGCTGCCTGCTGCAGGCACTACTGCTTCATGCTCTTGGCAGGCTCCGAGGACTGCCGCACATCAGTCCACTCCTGCATGGTGCTCTGCAGCGCCTGCGTCTTCTCCTTGTCCACTTGCACGTAATCAACCTTCTCATCTGAGGCGACCGACGAGGTGGAGGGCTGTGGGGAGGAGAAACAGGGCACCATCTGGTCACTCATCAGCTACCTGCTCTTCCCTCCCACTCCTTTCTGCAGCAGCACAGCAGGAGCCACAAGCCCACCAGCACCATTCCTGCTTTCTTGAAGACCCCACAATTCATCACCCCTCCCTCTGACCTTCCAAAGACACTTGGATGAAGGATTTCAATCTCCTCTGCCTCTTGCTGGCATGAGACTGCAGTGCAATGGGAGGGCAGAAACAGCACGTGGGTCTCTGCCTTCTCAAAAACTTTGAGACATGGATGTTTGGTTGTAATTGTGTTCTCTTACTGCTGATTTTTTGAGTTCAGCCTTGCATCTTCCTCATTTTCTTGTGAAGAACTCCAGAACTCTTAGAGATACACATAAAAATACCACCTCTATACCTTTTAGCTGTGTTGACTCTATTCACCTATGGCACTAGCTCATTTTCATCCCCAAAACAATAAATGTTTGCAGGGTCTCCCAGGAGATGTGTTGAGAACAAGGAGATACTTTTTGCTATAGCTTCTGGAGTCCTGGAGTTTTTTCTGAGTTTACAAGCATTTCAGAGGACCTCCATCTGCTTGTAACTGGAGCTGGATAATGGTTTTTAGTGGTCTAAAATCACTTTTCCAGAACGGGATATAATTTAAATGGGTGATACTTGCAGAAATATCACTGGGCAGAAAGAAACCACCAAGGGACAACTGTCAAATAATAAAAAAGACCTAACCAGTGGGATGCTTTGCCTAGGAAACAAGGTGGTGTTTGAGAAAGTGAGGCCAACTCACAAATGGTTGCCGTGAAGTTTTATACAACCCTTGTCCTTCACCTTTCAGGTGCAAAATCCAAGTCTGGTCTAGGAGGACCTGTTATTTTGAAGGAGGAAAAACCCAGTTCTGATACTTCTTGGCGTACCTCCTGACAGCTTTTCAATATATAGTCTCCAGCTGAATTTGTGGTTTCATCAGCATCCCTGAACCCTGAATATCCCTGCTTCTACTTTTCACTACCAGCAAAGCTGCTGACATGCAAGAGCGACTGAGTTTGACCTGGAGTAAATATAGCAGTGGGTCAATAGAATGGTTTGGGTTGAAAGTGGCCTTAAAGATCATCTCATTGCAACCATGCCATGGGCAGAAACACCTTCCACTACACCAGGTTCCTCTATGACCCATCCAGCCTGGCCTTGAAGACTTCCAGGGATGTGACAATCAAAGCTTCTTTGGGCAGTCTGTTCAAGTGCCTCACTACCCTCATAGTAAAGAATTACTTTCTAATATCTAATCTAAACTTGCCCTCTGACAATTTGAAGCTATTACCCCTTGTAGTGTCACTCCATGCCCTTGTCAAAAGTCCCCTTCCAGCTCTCTTGTAGCTCCTTTAGGCACTGGAAGATGGTTTAAGGTCTTCTTGGAGCCTTTTCATCTCCAGGTTGAACAATCCCACTTGTCTCAGTCTGCCTCCATAGCAGAGGTGCTCCAGTCCTCTGAACATCACAGATTCCTGAAACCACAGTCTGCGGCTTTGGACCCTGCTGCTGCCAATGTGCACAGAACCCCCTAAAAATGCATCACTTTTAATCAGAAGTTTATAAAATCCCCCATACCTTCCTGTGTGGCCCTGGAGAGCTTGGCTGGAAGTCCAGGGCCAGGTAATCCACACTCCCCGAACTCTTTTTAGGTGCTGGGCTGTTGGTACCACTAGGAACAGGAGAAGCAGAAATGGGGTTTTGCTAATGCAGGGAAGAGACAGGAGAGATAATGAGGATTAAAGTGGGAAGAAAGAAAGAAAAAAGGAAATTAACACAAATCCTGAAAAACATGTTGGAGGCACCTTTAAAAGAGCCTGGGTATTTGCTCACCTGCCCCTGGGACAAGGATGTGCAAGAACTGCTGAGATACTATAAATGTTGTACATTGTGCTAACAAATATTTCAAGTTCATGCTCTTGATTTCAAATATAAGAGCAGCTCTGCTGCCTTTGTGCTGATTTTATTCACATGCCTGACAGCAGACGTGGGCTTTAGCATGTCCCTAGAACCACACCTCAGCAAGGCCAGTCCAGCTCTGGGATCTTTGCTAATCACAACCATGCTGCACAGAGCACAGATTTCCTCTACTCCATTAGTTACATATCCTCAAAAGTATGCTTCAAGTCAGTAGCTTCACCAAAACAGACAAAATCCCCTCCCTGTAAGCAGTGCCACTCCCTGCTTCTGCTTTGATAGCCCCTGCTTCCACAGAAACATGATGTCAGCAGCTATTAGGGAAAAAAAAAATTTAAAAAATCAACTTTAATTAGGAAAATACACCCTGACAGTCCATATAAATTTTTTATCCCCTCTTAATTCCTGGCAAAGTGGGTGATATATGTTTCTGCTCTCATACACGTTTAAAACTCCAATGAGCCGTGTTGTTTTCAGAAGGAAACACCCTGTTTTGTGCATTGAGGGATGCACATAAGGATGTACTCCACACAGTGCTATCTGAATACTTCCATGTCATCAGCTAGGAATGCATCTGCAGAGCTGGGGAGATTGTATGTCCTGCCAGAACCATCTATCTCAGCTGTGGGTCCCTTACCATTGCCACGTAGTTCTCCTCGCTCTCTCCCGAGTCAGTGCTGGTGATGCTCTGGGAGGAGACAGGGCGACAGTACTGCAGAGAGCCAGCGTTGAACGTGTGCCTGCGAGAACAAAGGTTGAGGTGTTTCTGGTGGCTGCAGCTCCTGCTTGTCCTTTGCCAAGGAGGGATGGGAGAGGGCAGCTCCTGATGCCTGCAACTATCACTGTGATCCAATCTGGGCATGAGGAAGAGCTGGTGGATTTTAGGTTCTCCAGCCTTTCCTTTCCATGAACACCTTCCTTGCAATATACCCGTAACTCTCCTGCTCTCATCTATACAAATCAGATTCCACTAACTCCTTCATGCCACAGGAAACATTTAATTGTGGAGGATGGAGGGGCAGCCTTGGTGAAGCCTCTCACCTCCAGCCTCATCACAGCAACAGGATTCATTTACCGTACAGGCCCCATCCAAATTTTTTGCCAGAAAACAAATCCTCTGAGGAATTGTCTTGCTTTCAATTGGCCAAATCTAATTATACCAAACAAAATAATGAAATCAGCTTCTGGCATTAAAGCATGTGTCTCAAAAAGCTATTTGTTGCCTTTCAGTAAAGCAGGGTCATATGATTAGCTGATAGGGGAAAAATCCATTAGCTTCTCCAGGGTCAGATCTCTTGTCAATCAAACCCTGCTTGCTGCTTCCCAGTGCAGTGATTTCAGCACACAGTGTTCATGCCCTGCAGTCAGTCTCCACACAATCCAATTTATTAGAGGAGTCATAGCAGCCAAGCTTTGCTTCTGCTTTTACTGGTCAACATCAGACCATGAATTAGTAGCAGAGCTGGAATTGTGCGAATCCTGTTATTTTTGGCTGGCAGACATAGCTCTGAAGTGCTTTGGTTTAATTTTGCAGACTTCCTTCAGGCCAAGCTTTGCTTTCAAGGCAATCAAAACATGGCTTGGTGAGACCCTGAGAGTCACCCTGTGCTTTGATATGACAGTGGGGTTTTGAGGGGAATAGCTTGGATGTGAAATCATGCCCCCCACACAGCATGGCTGGGTTAGTCTGGTTCAGCTGCATCATGAATTGTGGTGGACCACAGGTCCCAGGTCAGAGCCACGACTCTCCAGTAGTTGTCAGATCCCAGAAATAGGAAGTGTCTTCAAGGGATCTTAATTAGCTTGTTAGCCACATGCTGGGCTTTCATGTGAAATCCCAACCTAAATGAATTTATCTTCCTGCCACCAGCTGTGATGTGGGGAATGTTTAATCCATGGCAGAGGCGACAGCACAGATACCTGTGGACACCAGTAAGAATGGGACCAGAGAGCTGCTTTTGGAGCAAAGGAAGAATTCATCCCCCAGCCATTACTCACGTTGGCCTGGACCAGGATTTTGTGACTGGTGATTTGAAGGGAAGCTCATCAATGACAGTATTGTTCCTCAGGTCCAGCGGTGATGGCTTTGCTGGGGAGGAGAAAAGCCTTTATTCAGAGGCAGCATGTTCCTACAATTCAGCATCCATGACTGGCATGAGAATATCCCCAACAGATGGTTGATTACTTCCCATTCTACTAATCAGCCCCCAGCCCTCTCTGCTGATGACAAATACTCTGAACCAAAACCCCTGTGCTCATTTAATGCCAGAACTGGAAGAAAATTTCTCCCTCTGCTTCACAGCCCCAAGGTGGATGCGTAGTCCCAAAAGGGAGTTGTGTCTTCCAGAGAATAGAGATCTGCTAAAAATGCCCAAATCCCAAACCACTTATTAGATATCTGTGGTAACTAATGCATTAGATTAGTTGACTCCATGCCTGAACTGCCTCTGTGTGGAGTGTTTTCCCATAGGGAATGGGAAAGGACATCTGCAGGGCAGTGTGAAAGCTCTTTTCATCATGGATGGTTCATTAGGTGGAAGAGTCCTATGCTCCAACCCCAGCCCTTGAATGGAGTGTTCATGGGGTTAGGTGTTGACACCCTAGAGATGGGAGGGGAGCCTTCCTCCTCAGGATCTCCTTGGCCACCTGTCAGACAATGGATTAGGGAGAGATTTGGAGAATGTCAGCAGAGCCCTGAAATAATTGCCTGGAACCAGCCAGTAAGAAAATGTAGGAAAAACTTGTGTCATCTGAATACAACAATGAGATTTTGGGGTGGAGCACAGGGAGGGGTGCAGGTCAAGGGGGTGAAATCCTGCCTGTGACATCCATCTCCTGTAAAGGCCTGGAAGGGTTTGAGACGGACTGTTCAAACACCATGAAAGCTACATTTGCACTACAGAGCTTCTGAAAGAGGAAGAGGATGGGGGACATCTGAAGGTCTGACTGTACTGGCAGTAGCAAAGCACATCCCACCTAGAACTGGACACAACTTCCCAGATGCAGTCTGAAGTACTAAGAGAACAGAAGGATACCTGGAAAGATTTGTGCACAACCAACCGTTCTTACCTTTCCGGTCGGGTTTGAGGTTGCGGTTGACTGGTGGGGGCTGGATTTCACTCAGCCGTCGGTGGCACTGAGCCACGGCTCCTCCTTTATGCACGGGAAGGGTGGCTGAGGACAACCCCACCAGGTCAAAGTGATGCGGCCCAGGGCTCATGGGGATGTAGAGACTTTGGGCATTGTCGTTGGCTTTCTCGGCGTGGATTAGGGGTGAGGAACCAGGGTTCATGGGGACGTAGTTGTCCTCGGAGTCGGTGCTGTGGGAGCGGGCCACCGCTGCCTTGGCCTGCTGGGGGAGGATGTGCTGTGAGCATCAGGCACTGCTCAGCCCCATCCACTACAAACCCTTTCATCATAACCAAACAACATCTGAGGGGACACTCTAAAGTCTAAGCACAAAAGGAAGGAATGATCTATCTCCTCCCTGGACATCAGTTTGCACTGAGAGAGTCTACTTCCTTTGTTCCCAAGACATTGCAACATCCTGAGTTTTCAGAAAGGTCTTTATCAGCCAGATCTGAGCATCTTCTCATGATCAGAGTGAGCTGGAGAAGCATGTTTAACCTGGAAAGTCTTTCTTCCCTAGGCTCTGTCTATGACTAAAATGCAGTATGAAAGGTTGCTTTAATGTCATTTCCAGCTCAGGAAATCTTAGAAAGTGCGCAAAAGAGGCTGGTCTGGCAGCATGTCAAAATTTAGCTCAGTGGTATCCCAGACGTTCAGGAAGAAGGCAAACTCTTGGGTTGTTTTTTTTGGGCCAAAGCTGCAGGCAGATACACTGTGTGGAAGCAAAGCTCTGCACATGATGCTAGGTTAGGTGGTTGCAACTCCATCTGTTCTCTGCAAGCCACCATGGTTTTAACAGAAACCATTAATAGAACCCTTTTTGACTTAGCTCTGCAGGACTGGCTGTGAGGGCCAACTTGGAACCAACCTGTCTCTGAATCTGAAAGGTGCAAGTGGTGCCTGTAGTGTGGTGGCCCACACCAAGGCCAACTCACCAGGTAGGAGTTGTAGCCATCGTTCATGGACTCGACCGACTGCACAGCGCTGCCGCCCCCGTGCTGGGGGTACTCGTACGTCTCACAAGAAGAAGCTGCAACACAACCACAAATGCACGTGTCCCTCCACAACTGCTAACAAAAAGGGGTCCCTGCAAACAAAATCCAGGCACTGGTAGGGCAGTATCTGTTCTTGTTGATTGAGATGCTGATGAGAAGACGTGGTCTTTAGCTTGTCACAGACTCTCTGCTATGCTCCTTCCCAATTAGCACTCGTGCCATGCAGACCCAACCCTGCTCTGCTGAAGTGCTGCAAAGTCCCATGGGGAAAGGTGTCAGATAAAGCAGAACATGGTGACAAAACTGGGTTAAGGGTAAGCTCTGTTAGAGCTTGCTCAGTAAATGTAAAGGCTGGCAGCCTCCATCAAGGGGAGGATGGGTGCTAAGCTCTTAGACCAGTCTGTTTACTGCTGAGCATGAACCTGATCTCAGTCTAAGTGTGGGCATTTAGGTAGGAGGAAATGGGACAAGCATTTCAGAGAGCTGTGTGTCTAATTTACAGTGCATTTTCTCTCCAGCCACCTTTTCTCAGTTACTTTGCAACTATTTCATCCTAGGCACGAGGTTTGGAAAGGGCATGTACACCTATAGCCCACCCATGGCCAATAGCAATCGTGGATCTGCTGCACTTGGGGATGTTGGGTTTTGCAGATATGCAAAACCAAGGTTTTGCTCACCCACCTTGGTGAGAAAAACCAAGGCAGCTCCAAGCTGAAGTATTTTCTGGTAAACTTGGTTATGAATTGAAGTAAAGGTAAGCTAAAAATGTCTGAAATCAAAAAACTCTGGTGAAGAGCTGCATAAGCAAGCACATTTGGGGTTTTGATTTAAGGTACAACACAGCCAATAGCCAGCTGAGCTTGCTCTGGTGGGCAAAACTCTGCATATGCCTTTCCATGCCTGCTGAATACAAAAGCCAGGGCCAGATCCTGGCTGGGCAGAGTCTGTCTGTGTTCAACCCCTTGGTTGATGCTACGTGCACCCCAACCCTACTGCAACCTAGTGGGACTGATCCGCCCAAGGCTGCTGGAGAGCACAAAGCCACCCCCAGGTCCCCACCTCCAAATTCACCTCGGTGCAGTCTGCTGTTCTCCATTGCTGGCAGTGTGTTTCTCCGGGGAATGGTGGCTGGCATGGGCGTCAGACCTAAATTTTCACCAGGCTGGGGCCGCTGGGGTGGGCTGCCCCACCGTGGCTCTGTCTGCCCAGGTTTTGGGGGCCGTGGGGGTGGTGCAGCGGGCGAGTCGCTGGCGGCCACAGCCAGAGCGTTGTGGTTCTTGTCCAGTGTAAATGTCCTGGGGATCTGGTAGATGGAGAGTGGGGTGGCAGGGATGTCATAGGAGTCCGTGGAGAGCTCCCCAAACTCCTTGCATAGGGTGTTGTTGGGAGTCTTGTAGGTGTAGACCTCCTCATTATCAGTTTCAGAGCTGGTGAGGCTTGACTTGGGGTGGGTGTAGGAGCCAAAGGAGCGCGGGAGGTCGTAGGCACTGTCCCTGAACTCCGAGTTGTGCCGGCTGGGTTTTGGCAGGCTGTAAAAGCCGTGGAGCTGCCCACCAACGCCGTTCATGCAGTGCCCGTTGCCCTGCGAGAGCTTCTGGACTGCCGTGTCGCTCCGCATGAAGAAGGCAGACCTCGTGGCTTGGGAGAAGCTGGCACTCCTACAGAGGGAGAGGAGAAAGGGGCTGGAATGGGGGGAGAGCTGGTTCTGGGTGCAGAGAGCTCTGCTCCCTCTGTTTGTCACCTTACTGACCTGCACTGCCCAGCCCCAGAGCAACGAGAACACCTCAGACCCCTCCAAACATGCCCACAAGCCACTTGATCCTGAAACACCACCAATGCCTCTGTTGTAGGTGAGAGACACAAGCACCCAGCTCCATGATATTGCCATAAGCAAGAATGAGCCTTTTGTCCAGGCATAAAATGCTCCAAAAGGGCAATTTTCACACCAGGTGACAACGTCCCAGGGCACAGCTGCAAAGTGCCAATCTGCCAGCGCTGCCATCATGCCTCGACCGCCCATCCACAGTTCAGGAGGGAGACTTCATCTCACCTCTGCCTTGCAAATGTGTTTGAGAAGGCCTGAAAAACATCCTGATGGGGATTATTTCAAAGTTGTCAGCCATGTCATCATCCTGCCCTCCCACAGGGCAAGCACTGGGGAGGTTAATAGAAGCCACCAACTAGGATCTGCCATTTGCAGCCCTGACGTGCACGGGGGGAAGAATGAACCTTAGGGCTAATTTCAGATTTGTAAAAGCCCTTGAGTTGTCCAGGTTAAGCAGGGCAGTGTGGTCACTAGATCCATGCCTTGGTAATAATTCCTCAATTTACATGAAGTCATGCCTGGGGACACTTGTCAGAACAGAGGCCAAACACAGAGATCTGGGGCCTCTAACAACTGCTGGTTAGCCACTGCTCCTCTGCTGATTCCCCTCAAGATACTTAATCTCCTGTTTTATCCCTGCTTTATCCCACACATGGGTCAGGCTTTTGGGGACCACACTGTCCCAGTCAGAAAGGGCTCAGCCAGCCCCATATAAACAGCCCCCCCAGAAGAAAGTTCTGCCCTGTATCAAACATTGTGGTGAGAAAAAGTGAAATGCTTATGGGGAGAGTTTCCAGTTGTGGCAAATCACTGGGAAAGTGCCAGTCCTATGGGAAAAGCTGGGATATGCTGGTTTACACTGCTCTGGTGTGGTTGATGCTCTGCAGGGACAACAGGGCTCTGTTTCATGGAGCCAGCACGAGATGGCGCTCAGAAATAGAGCTTATTTAGGGGAAAAAGCAAGGGATGCTGTGGTAAAACAAATTAATCCCTGCCACCTTTGGACCTCAGCCCACCCAGAAGTGGTTTGGGTTCTGTCAGGGTATTTTTGGTTGATGACTTGAAACATCTCATGGGTTAATTATTCTGCATTGCCTGCCAATTAACTACTATTACCCTGATTTTATGGATGAATAAAGTAAGAGCTCCAGAGCAAAAAGGGAAGGGATTCCCAGCAATCCTGCAGCCTGACCCTATGCACTGGGCATTGATCAGAGGATTATTTCTGGCCCAGTTGCAGAAGCTACCACTGGCCAGTTTGTTTCTGCTCATCAAAGCATTGGTGCTTGCTCCTTTCTCCTCTAGGTTTCAGCCCTGTTCAGGTTCTCAGAGGGTGGCTTTTAGGAATCCTCACAGCTGGAGTGTGAGAGAACCATTTTTTCTAAACACTGCTCCATTAACACTATCTGAAGTTAATTTTTCTGAGCCTTTTTTTCTGTTGCTGCTTTCTGAGTAGGGAAAGTCAGCTGCAGGAGGAAAGCCCAGTGGAGGCTGCAGCCTGAGCTCTGCTCTCACTCCATGCCAGCTGGGTTCTGACTGTCCCTCCCTCCCTCCTCGCCTGCTGCCGTGAGCCAAAACTCTTCACGTCAATAAAACTCCTCGCTATTTAAGGCAACCGGCTGGGTCTGGAGGCGGGGGGTTGTCGCTGGCTCAGAAATCCCACACTGTGAACCACCAGCTGCCACGAAAGCCACTGAGCTCTGGAAGGGGTGAACAGTAGGGTGGTGCCAACCCTGCCCATCCCTTTGTTTGTCCTAATTCCAAGGGCAGGAATTAGGACCCTGTCTGCAGGATTACAAAGTGGTTAAGGTTGGAAAGGACCTGTAGAAGTCATCTGGTCTAAACCCCTGCTCAAGCAGGGCAGCCTAGGGCTGTGGCTGGACTATGCGCAGACAGCTTCTGAATATCTTCCAGGATGGAGACTCCTATACTTCTCTGGGCTATGTGTGCTAGTGTTTAGTCACACTCACAGTGAAAAAAGGTTTCCTGGTGTTCAGATGGGCTCTCCTGCACTTAAGTTTGTGCCTATGGCCTCAGGTTCCTGGCACTGGGCACCACTGACAAGAGCCTGGTTCCATTCCCTTTGCACTGTCCCTGGAGGGGAGATACCCCTGAGCCTCTTCATGTGCCAGCTGAACAGCTCCAGCTCTCTCAGCCTTTCCATTTAAGAAAGATGCTCTGGGCCCTTCAGCAATTTCATGCCCCTTTGAACTGGACCCAGTATTGACCCGAGGTACTGCTGGAGACTGGCCTCCAACCAGACTTGATGCCACTGACCACCATTGTCTGGGTCTGACCTTTCAGCCAGTTTTTAACACCACCTGAAATCTGGGAACTTGTGAGGTCACCACTCTGACCTCCTCCCAACCACGATAAGATGAGACATCACTCAAGACTTTCTCCAGATGGGTTTTGCAGGCCTCCAAGGATGGAGGGGGGTTGAGCCACTCACACCCAGCCCTCCCCCTAGCTGTCCCCAAGTGGGTGGGCCACGATACCTTGCATTTTCTGACTTTCTGCTCATACACTGGTGCAGGAAAAGGTAGTCCTGGGGGGCACTGGCAGACAGGGTGCTCTGGAGGTGGCTGGCAGGTGAGTCGAAGGTGAACAGGGTGGGCTGGCTGGAGTGGGACGGCGCTGAGGACTTGCGCTCTCGCAGCAGGTGGTGGCTGGCACTGCTGAGCTCGGCTGGGGAGGAGCGCGGGGCGTGGTTCATGGAGGCAATGCTCCTCAGGGTGTCTGTGCAGGGAAAAAACACACCTGTGAGTGTCGGACGTAGCTACCCCACATCCCCTGTTCCCAAGGTTTTCCTTACATAAATGCTCTGGCATTTACCGGGTCGCTGTGGTTTGCTGATGGCTCCGAGTGATCCTCTCAGCTGCTCTACTCAGAGCACAGCAACTACAGGTACCATGTATGGAAATAAATATTTATTGTATTTTATCATAAATCATATTTCCTAATTTTAAAATACTTTGTCACATGCTTAGTGGCTTGCTGGGATGTCAGCCTATTTCTTGGGGAGCTCAGTGGGTTGTTAAAACCTGATTTAAAAGACAGGAGCTTCTTTCACATCGCAGTGAGATGTGATTTAAGTCACCTCCATCCCTCTGTGTAAGGGCATCACTGCTATCCCTTTACACTTGGGTTAACTGAGGAATAGGGTGGAAATCTAGACAGACATAATGACAGCAAAGACGAAAAATATTCTCATGTTTCCAAATTCTGTATTGATTTTGTGACCTCAAGAGAGTTGCTGCTATTTTCTGTGAATATAAAGGGATGCAGACCCAAGATGTGATTCTTAGTGCCCACTCCCCCTGCTCAAGGAGAAAAAGACTTTCAAACATTAAATTGATTTCAATGGAGAATATCCCAGTGG